TCTGTATGATTGAAATTATCAGGATGAATTAATATCCGGATTGCGAAAAAAATTGCTTAAAGTTTCTGGATTGCAAAGGAATTGCTTAAAGTTTCCGGATTGCAAAAAAATCCCTCTGTATGATTGAAACTATCAGGGTGAATTAATATCCGGATTGCGAAAAAATTGCTTAAAGTTTCCGGATTGCAAAGAAATTGCTTAAAGTTTCTGGATTGCAAAGAAATTGCTTAAAGTTTCTGGATTGCAAAAAAATCCCTCTATATGATTGAAACTATTTTAAATAAAACATTTAACCATATTATCATCTATAATTAATTTTCTAGATCATAAATTCTCGCCTATTCTACGATAATTTATTCAATGAAAAGAAAAAAGATCAAAACTGTCCGTTTTTTTTTTTTTTTTTTTTTTGAAAAACAACTTCGGAAGATCAAAATTATATCGAAAAATTTACTTTGAGGAAAAAAAAAACTCCTCTCAATAAATTTGATTCATTTCAAATTTGAAATATTTAAATGAGAAATGAATGAATTTGAAAAATTTTTCCTCTTTAAAAGCAATTATCATCAATGAAATATGCAAAAATATGAAATGAGATTAATCATTTCCTTTTTCAAATTCTAACAATTACTTTCCCATTAAGTTCTCCAAATTATTGTCATTTATCATTTTCAGTTTTTTTTTCTTTTTTTTCCCACATTTTTTCATTAATGGAAAGCAATGAATGATTATTTTTAATTGTAAATTTTCAACAATTAAATTTGTCACATCGGTCTTTTTTTTAATTTCAACAAAAAATTTAAATAGGACAAAAACTGTTTGAAGTTTATTCGAGTAATTATATCATTAGCAATGGATAACAATTCCTATTTTTACACAATCTTCCATTAGCCTAGCTCATTAATTAATCTAATGATATGATTTCAAAAATCATTATCATGACTTTAATCATTTCCGAAGTTTTGGCTACTTTTTGTTTAATTTATATTGAAAATTTTAATCACTCCTGTTATATTAATTTGGTTAATTATATTAGCTTTGTTAATTGTGCTAGCTTAGTTACTATTGTTTTTTTTTTAGCATAGACTAGAATTCGTGATAAATAGTGATCATGTTAGGAAATAGAATCCGGTAACTGGAAGCAATAAACTTTTTCCGGATTAAATACTAGAATGTCGAAAGATTCGGTGAAAAGTGTAGATGTAGATGAACAGTAACCGAACATCTGCCTGAATATACACAAATTACTGAACAATAATTACCGGTACATTTACTTTTTTCTTAATGTAAATTAATTACGTCATGACCAACAATCTTATAGCTTGCATCATTTATTAGTTTATATGTTGTTCATGTATTTGTATGATGAAAATTAATGGAATTAATGTAAATTAAAAAATTTAAAATAGGAATATGTAATTGAAAGTCAGACAAACTTTGTTTTTCTCATTTATAATTAATTATCGAATTTTAATAAAATTTTGATTAACTTTTTCGGAAAATTTGTTCCAATTTTAAGTTCAATTTTAAGTGTTTTTTAATTTTAGAAAGAAAAATAGTGTTTTAAATGAATTTTTGATGAATTTTTAATTGTATTAATTTTAAACTTTTTTTTAACTTAAAAATATAAATTTTTTTTAATTTAAAACTTAGAAATAATATGACGGATAAAAAGTAATTAATATAATTGATGTAACTAATGTATGTTGAAAAATTTGAAATTGAAATATGTGATTAAAAGTTAAGCAAATTTCATAATTTAAAACTTAAAAACAATATGAAAGATAAAAAGTAATTAATATAATTAATGTAACTAATGTAAGCTGAAAAATTTGAAATTGAAATATATGATTAGAAGTTAAACAAATTTCACCATTGTCATTTTGAATCAATTATTCAAACTTTAATTTTAAACAATATTTTATTAAAAATAAATGATGCATAGTATAGTTTTTCTTTCTTCTCTCTCTATTCAACAAATTAAAATCAAAAATTTTAATTGAAATACATAAATCAGAAATGGTTTGAGTTGACAGAGTGATTAGTTTACAAAAAAGATTTATTTCATAGCTCTCAATGAGTTGCTTATTGAAGTGGCGGAATTAAATTGATTACTATCTTCCTCAAGTATTTAAATACACAATAAAGTACTTTCCAAAGTTATTTGTTTATCATTTCTGGATGGATAATAAATTTGGAAATTTATAAATTAATTGGATAACCTTAAATTAAAATGAATGTATTTGATGAATGAATTTTTAAATTTAATCAACATCTCTTTACTTACTTATCAATTTTGTTTACCTAATTATTCATTGTTTATTATTCTGTACTAATTATTGCCATCTTTATCGATCAATAATTTCAACATATTTGTTTATTTCATTAAGAAAAGAAAGGTAAATTCGTTTAATTTCCGGTTAAGCAAAAATTTTTATACTAGTTGATTGTTTTCTTTTTATTTAATTCCTTGCCACGAGTTATTTTTTTTTTAAAAATTCAGAATTATACTTCAAATTTTGCGAAATAAGCATACTTTTTATCCTTGCAAGTATTAAAATTGAAATTTGGAATTTAATTAATTGATATTATTATTGGAAAGAAAATTTACGAAACTCGAAAAGATCGAAAAGAATGTTTATATAAATTTTTTCCATAATTTATTACATTTTGCTATATTGAAATATATTTTAAAATATTTCTAATTAATTAAATTAAATTAAATCATTCTCGATTAATACTCATAATAAATTATTGAAATTTCATGAATACAATAATTTTTTTTCTCCGATTTTCTTCTGTCTTTTATTTTCATTTGCATATTTTTTTATCAGATAGATAATTCTAATCATTATAATCACAACTTGAAATTTGTAATTTAATTGATTAATATTATTATCAGAAAAAAAATTTACAGAACTCAGAATCAAAAAATGTTTACAAAAAAAAAAAAAAGAAAAGGGTGATAACATAAATAACACGATTATCAATATTAAGTTATTATTAGTTGTATTTAATTAAAATTTTTAAAATTAAAAAAAAAAACTTTTTTCTTCCAGAATGTTTCACTTTTGGTTGAAATGCGACATGAACCCAACAAGGCAATTATGTTTCGCTCGGAGAATTTCCTTCAATTATCACCATCTAATGATATACTGAAAATTACTGAGGTATATCATCATTCTGATAATATATCATCCTATTCTAATTTAACTCTATTTTAAATTTTAATTTTCATCCTTTTTTAAAGCTCAAAAAAATTCGTTAATAAATTCGAATAAATTTTAATTGCTACATATTATCACAATATAATTTGAAATACATATAGTTTATACTATTAAATTTAAAATATTTTATAAATTCAATAAAATATTTTGACAAAACATTTTTAAAATTTGAAATGAAATAAATATGGTTGCAGTTAAAAATTTCTATACAAATTTAAATTTTTGTACAATAAAAATTTGTTACAAATTTTTAGAATTTTATTTATGTTAAAATTTTTAAATTTTTAAAATTTCATTAAAATTAAAATATTTTTTTTTCTTTCCTTTTTAGGAGAAAGGTGACACGAAAATAGAATATGATATTAAAGTGGAATGTGGAAAGAATTACTATGGATCAGAATGTGCAATATTCTGTAATCCAAGCATTGGAAGGTTAACTATTTCATTGTTTTAATATGTAAAATAACAAAATTCCATTAATTATCATATAATTTATCCATTAATTTGTTCCAATTAATTAAAGTTTATTGACTTTTTGGAAAATATTCAAATAGAAAATTTCGTAATTTATTTTTTTAATTCTGTTCATTTTAATTATTAATTAATTAATGTTTTAAATTATAGTTTTCATTTCAAATGTTCACCGGATGGACGACGTTTATGTGAGGATGGTTGGAGTGGAAAAAATTGTGATGATCCAATTTGCGCCAATGGTTGTATTAATGGATATTGTGTTTCACCAGGAATATGCAAGTATGTATTATTATTAAATTAATTTTTATAAAATTAATAAAATTATTTTTCAGATTTTCATCAAATAGTGGCTTAATTTATTTGTGAATTATTTTATAATAATAAATAATATTAATGTATTATTTCGAAACTTATTAATTAAGGTATAATTAATTAAGGAAAACATGAAAGATTGCCATAATAATAAAATTGTAATCATTAATGTTAAAAGAAAACAATGCATTTTGTTGATAATTAGTTAACACTTTTAATTATCAATGTATTTTTGTATTTTTCAAATTTTTTTTTTAAACAATCATTATACAAAAATACCAAATTAAAATGTAGTGTTATCATTGAAGTTAATTAATTACGATATAATTAATTAGTTAATGTACGGAGAATTATTGTTTTTGAAGAAGTTCTTTTTTCTTTTTTTTAAAAATTAAATTTATTAAGATGCCGTAATGGATGGCAAGGTAATAATTGTGATCGTTGTAAACCACAGGATGGTTGTAAACATGGTTATTGTAACAAACCTAATGAATGTATTTGTGAGAAAAATTGGGGTGGAACATTTTGCGATAGGTAAAATTTCGGTTACCTTTTTTATTTTTATTTATTTATTTTTTCCTATTGCAACATTAAATTTGTCATTTTGTTAAAAAGAAAAAATTTGAACCATTTAAAGTGGATATTGTTGATTAAAAAAAAAATTAATTTCTTTTTCTTTTTGTGTCCTTTTTATTTTTTGTTTTTTCTTGTGAATAAATAACTTTCATATGGTTATTATATGATGAAAATATTTTAGAGATTTAGACTATTGCTTTCATAATTCACCATGTTTAAATGGTGGAAAATGTTCAAGTGGTGGATTACAAAATTATTATTATTGCAATTGTACGAATGGTTTTAGTGGGCAAAATTGTGAAATTAAGGTAATTTTTTTATTTTGAGTAATTTTGTGAAATTAAATAAATTAAAGTAATAAATTAAGTAATAAATTAAATTTTGGGAAAGCAAAATTGTGAAATTAAGGTAATTTTTTATTTTGAGTAATTTTGTGAAATTAAATAAATTAAAGTAATAAATTAAGTAATAAATTAAATTTTGGGAAAGAAGATTAACTAATATTTATAAATGGAATAGATTTAATTCTCCCATTTGGATGAATCATAATTTACCTGGATATCTTAGTTGAGTGTATTTTGTTAAATTTCCCCATTTGGATGAATCATAATTTACCTGGATATCTTAGTTGAGTATACGTAATTACAACTAATACATTAATCATAATTTATCGGAATATTTTATCTAAGTATATTTTATATTATATTTTACCTGAATATACTATGAAATGATTTTTGGAACCGAAAACAAAAAAATTTTATAAAAGATGAGAATTTTGTAAAAATTATTTTTATAAAAAATTTCCAGTAATATTGAAAAAAAAAAAAATGGTGTAAAAAATGTTTAAAATATAATTACAGGTAGGTTACAGGTAAATTTTACAGGTAGATCCATGTGCTAAAGTAAACTGTGGAAAGTATGGTCAATGTAGAGTTTCATGGAATTCTGAAAAT